CAGCTTGAGGGTGAGTGTTAGAGTTGGTCGAGTAAGGGCAACTTAGTCTTTTCGATGTGGCAATTTTGTTTTGTTTTGTTTTTTTTTTTAATTTTTCTTGTCCCATACTTATAGGGGTTTATTTGACTTTGTACCCTTATTTTAATCTAATAGATATTATGGTCGAGTAGGAGGGTTAAGACTCTCTAGTTTGTCAGCTTTCTTCCATCTTCTTCTTCTTCTTCTTCTTTCTCTTTCTCTTTCTCTTTGAACAGGACTTATCTGAACCACTAAAACAATCATTAATGAAAAATAATTCTTATTTATCACACTTATCTTTGTTTATATGATGAATGTATAATATTAAAGATACTGATAGAAAACCATATATAATATTAAAGATATGCTCAATTTTCTACAAAATTTCTGTTTTTTGTTCCATCCATTTATTGCATTTTATTACTTAATTATAACTTCACTGTTTGACCATTTGTCTTGGACAGTTGAACCGCTGGCCCATCACCTGGACAGAAACGTTGTTCCATTTAGAAATACTGCAAAGAAGCTGCTTTTCTTGTTATGTCAGACAAGTATCAAACAAGACTTCCCCTTTTTACTACTTTTCACACCAAAATGGCAKGATCCCATTTCCCAAAAACTGTGATTGCAATCTGCAATCTCAACCTTTTCTTATCCCATTTCATAACATCTCACAAACCAAATGTGGGAAGGGAAGAAAATTTARGAATATTCCATTTTATCCCTTCCCTTCCCAAACTGAGTGCAACCTTATGGAATCAAAACCGCCAAGTAAATTAAAATCACTTCCAACAGTTGAAAAAGAAAACTCAAACTTCATCATTTGATGTCAAAAAGACAGGGCCTTACATATTTGTAGGCAAAGAAGGGAGGGTATGCCAGCCAACTTCCCTTGCATCACTATTTCAGGCCCAACTAAACTAAGAAATGCTACTAAATAACTAACTAGGAATAGGACAAATCCTAGCTGTGTAAGGACTAGGATTTTGACTGGATACAAATCCTAGTTGACTTAGGACTATGAATTAAACTAATCCTATTTGCTTCATGACTATGACTGACTTACTAATATATTTCTACATTCCTAATTACTAATATTAATTCCTACACCAATTAGGAAAACCAACTCCTAGTGCAACTAGGAAAGCATTATCCTGATACAAATAAGAAAAACTGCTAATGACTCCAAAAAAGTAAATTCTGAAAAATTTTGACACTAGTGTGACTGTTAGAGTGGAAGTTTTAAGAAACTCTCGTGCAATATAATTCACTCAATCAAATAATTGAGTTTTTATTATTTTGGGTAGGCCCATTTAGGGTAATCAATACATAGTCCCCCTTAATTACATCTATRCAAAGGGTTGGAGAAAACTTTTGGCTTTGACTTGGAGAAATAAATGTACAAGACAAACAAAAAAAAAAAAAAACAAACTAGAGAATTCTTGAAACAAGAATTCAATTTGTATTTCTCTATAGATCCCAACTTTACAAGAATGAGAAATACAAAATACAACTAAGAAACTTTACAACATCACGTCCCTCTTTTCCTTATTTTTTATTTTTAATTCAATGATTGGTATAGACTTTTCCTTGATTATGAATTTCATTCTCACTTCTTTTCTTTACAATAAGCCGTAGTGAGCCAGATAAAACAATCTGACTATAGACACCATTATTCTTCCAGATCTTGCACTTTTAAGTGAACCATAATTAGTTAGATTAAATAACYAGATTGTCAATAGTTTTAATCCCTTCTTGTTTTAGTTTTCAATTTTGCATTTGTAGGGAACCATAGTCAGCTGTTATAGAACAAGGCTGTAGATGTCTTGATCCCTATACATTTTTCTTTTGAAAGTAACTGAATAGTAGAGGAACCAAAATCAAACAAATAAAAGCACTCAATTGTAGATGGTTTCTTTCTCTCTATGCTCACAATTTCTCAATGTGGTTTAGAGACAACATGAAAGAGAGAAAACAATAATAAAGATTTTAATATGACAAAGTAGACGTATTTGAACAAGATATTTGTAGAGAAGCCTTCCCTTTGCCTACTTGTAAGTATGTACAATGACGGTCCTTTTTCTCTTATTAGACAATCCCAATACATGTTTTGGGTGTTTTCCCTATCTTCCTCTTCCTTTCTTTTTCCTATTTTCTTCTCCATTAACCTTCTCTTTTTTTTTTCTTCCTTACTCTATGGATGGAACTTCTTAGGGTTGCCTAGATATCTTTCTCGGGCAGCGTGTGGTAGGTGGGTAGGAACAATGCTGCCTTCCTTCGTGGAAGATTGGAGTGGTTATGTAACCATCTCTCTTTAAATGTTAATGGCACCTAGCTTCCCACTTAAAGAGAGGGAGAGCCTAGTTTGGGTCACTCTTCAAAGCCATTGTTTGGAAGTGCTTATTTTTAAGCACTTATTGGAAAAAGCGCTTATTTTAGGTTGGGGCCACGCCGATAAGCACTTATTTATGTTTGTGAAAGTTTCTGGCCTGTCTTGGCCTGCCACATAATTTTCAAAATACCTATACTATCTCCATTTGAAAGAAGCACTTTTTCACCAAATGCTCATAAGCTCTTATTAGGATAATAACTTATTTATCTAATAAGCACTCCCAAATAGAGGTGTTCATGGTCAGTTAATTGAACCATTAACACGCTTTGATTCAGTTAACTGATCCTGTTGGTTTTTCAAAATTGTGAACCAAAACCGAACCAAATCAACTGATCGGTTAACCCGTTGACTAGTTTGGTTTTACAGTTTTTTATATTTATAATATAAATTATAAATTTATAATAAATATAATATATATGTATATATATATAATATTAAATATATACATATGCATACACATACACATACACATACACATACACATACACATACATGGGTCAGTTCAGTTTTTGTTTTTTGATGAGCACCCTTACTCCCAAACAGGGCTTAAATGGCCTTTAGTTAGCACATCTGCCTTTTCTTTATTCTTTTTTGTAGCAGTGGTCCAACCCCCTTTATTGGGTTGTAAGTGGTCTTATAATTGATCACACATTCTATAATTAAGCTCATTCTTTTCTTAAGGAAACTTGAAGACACATCTGGATGTATCTTATTATGAGTTTCACTTTCAGCAGCTACTATTGATCAGTACATAGGAATTTAGGAAATCCTGGAACCCCTGCATCAAGAAGTATACCCAAAATTTACCACATAATAAGGAGGGGAGACCAGGAGAGCATTATTTACTATGGAATGTAATTAATGCTTTTCTTTAAGGTTGATACCCCATTAGACTCTGTTTTAGGTGAACAAGGACATGATAGTCTACCTCAAGGATCTAACTGTTACTCTGTTAGAACTTAGAACCTCTTGTATGGGTACATAAATAGAACACACAGGCTTGGTGAATTAGCTCCAATGAACTTGATAGCAAGATAAAATTAGAGAAAAGATGAGGAAGAAGGAGAAGATCAGTAGCATTATATGAACAATACAGCATGAGTGGTCCGATGCTTCTCTTTAGAAGCAATGTAAGGAAGACACTCTTCTCCATATGCTACTCTTTCCCTAAAGTGTCTATCCACTTCAATATGCTTGGTCTGATCATGTTGTATAGGGTTATGCGCAATATTGATGGCAGCCTGATGGTCACAATACAATATGAGTGGTTTATCATAACTAATGCCTATTTCCTTCATTAGAGACCATGGCCATAATAATTCTAACACACCATGGGCCATAGCCCCTATACTTTGCTTTAGTTGAAGACCTAGCCACCATTTATTGTTTCTTGCTTCTCCAAGAAACCAGATTTCCCCCTTACCATAGTGCAAAATCCGGATGTAGACAGCTTGTCATCAACACAACCTGTGCAATTTGCATCCGTGTAGGCTTTCAGTTTCATGTGATTGTGGCCATGCTTCCCAAACAGAATCTTCTTACCTGGTGTACCCTTCAAGAAGCACAAGATTCTCTCCATTGCAACCATGTGCATATCCCTAGGAGCATACATGAATTGACTGATAACACTCATTGCATAAGAAATATTATGGCAAGTCATGCAGATATACAACAACTTCCCAAATAGCCTATGAAACACTCCTCTATCATCCAACAATTCTTCGTCAAGAGCACATAGTTTATGATACAAGTCAATGGGTGTAGCAGCTAGCTTAACCCCAAGTTTATTTATCTCAGTAAGCAAATCAAGTACATACTTGCATTGGGAAATGAAGATGCCATCATTGGATCTAGCAACCTCAATTTCCCCAAGTCTTTGATTTCAAATTCAGTACTAAGAAACTTCTTAAGACAATCAACCTCTTGCACATAATCACCAGTCACTAACTACTATAAACAATCAAAAAAGTGACAGAAATAGCTCTCCTCTTGACAAAAAGAGGGTGTGATCCAATTGTGTCTGGGTATAGCTGATCTGCTGAAATTGACAAGGGCTGCCCAAAACCTCTCAGACCATGCTCTAGATGATTGCTTAAGACCATAAAGCGATTTCTTGAATGTACATACTTTTCACCAGTCACTACTATATTCTGATGTCCCTTCCCTTTTTCTGCCAGCCACCCCAACCAAATAGTAACTTTAGCGTATGTATTGCACCTTTGACATTGAGCTTTTTATTAAATGCAATATTTTAGATTTCAATAGAAATCAAAAAAATAATTTCTATTTCAATAAGGAGTTAGCAAAGCGATATGTGATTTCTATTAGTGCTGTAGATGCAGTGCATGTGGGTAAGCACTGGGATATTCTTAAGACCATAGGTAATATCCCATAGCAAAAACTGATCCTGCCAATGATCTTTAGTCTTTAATTGTTAGAGTTCTTTTTGCATGAGAATCTCTTGTTTGTACCTATCAATTGTCCTGCCCCCTAAATGTATTTAATTTATGCTCTCTATAAATAACTGATTACTAATTCACCATTTTGTTGCTCTTTGGTATGGTCTTCTGTCCATCCATTCTACCTGCAGGCTGTGAAAACTCTTGCTAAGAGTCCAATGTTTGCCAGGGATCCAAGACACCTCCAATTTGAAGCAGATATAAATCGCCTCTTCCTCTATACAAGGTAGTGCCATTTCTTCACTGAGTTTTTAGTGGTGCTAGACTTTTAGAAGGATTGGAGATATGAAAAAAGCATTATTAGGGAAATGATTGTGATGATTTGAGGAGCATAGTTTTTAAGGCGTCAAGGTGAGGCTAGGCAACCATGGTGCGCCTAGGTGCCTAGGCGAGCGCCTAGCCCTCGCCTAGGTGATGGAATTTAAAAATAAGAAGGCAATGGATTTCTACCTCTTCTGAACTAGTTTTTTTGGTTTTATGTATTCTGCACTTACTTTTGTGCTTGTGTTTCTTGCAGTGTTGCTCGATGAGAACAATTACTAAAGTAAAAGAAGAAAATGAAAAAGAAAAGTAAGGGGTGGAGCTCCTATTCTAGACCTAGAAAAGCTGGTGAAAAAATATTAAAATAAAAGAAGAAAAGAACCGCCCCTATTTCAGACACCAATGATGAGAACAAAAAAAGCTGAAAATGCAAGAAGTTAAGAGCAAAAGAAGGGGGCGGAGCCCCTGTTCTAGACCCAGAAATGCTGGTGAAAAAAATACTAAAATAAAAGCAGAATATGAAGAATAAAAGAAGGGGCGAAGCCCCTATTCGGCCCCTGTTTCAGACACCAATAATCAGGGAAAAAAAGCTGAAAACATGCAAGAAATTTAAGAACAAAAGAAAGGGGCAGAGCTCCTGTTTTAGTACAACAAAAAGGAAGAGGAGAAAAATGGGGCGTAACCACTGTTTTAAACCAGTGGAAAAAGAGAACAAAACGAACTGTGTCGGAATGATGGAGGGCTGTTGTTCTCTCCTCTTCCTTAGTTCGATTCTTTTGTCAAAGTGAAGCCCTCAAAAATTATTTTGTTTTTACTTTTGTTGTAAGGCTTAAGTGTTCCTTGTAACTGATGTTAGTGGGACAGTTTCAGCTACTAGTCCTTTCTTTCTTTTTTTCTTATTGTTCTTATCCTAGGATATGCCGCCAGGGGCATACTTGTAATTTTGTCTTTTTTATAAAGATTAATATTAATAGAAGACTGGCGGCTGCCAGTACTGAGTTTTGCTTTTCTTTCTATCATCCGTACCTCTCTTTCTCTCTCTCTCTCTCTCTCAATCACCACAAGCAACGACATGGTATCAGAGCGGAATTTCTGGGCTGGAGAAGACCTACGATCCTAGCATCAGCCTTTCTAAGGAGGATTGGACGTGGCTACTAGTCTCAGTTCTCTCTGGCGGCGACTGGTCTCAGTTCTCTCTGGCGGCTGCACTTGCAGAAACCCTAGTAAGTCCTGCGGCTGTACTTCTGCTGAAACCCTAGTGGCCCCAAGCGACAGTTATTGAAAAACCCTAGCTGTGTCTGGCCGTGGGATGGTGCTGGTCTGCTGAAACCCTAATCGAAGGAGGGTGTTGATGGTGCAATGAAACCCTAGCAGGTTCTGATCTAGTGCTGAACAT